CTCTCCCCGGGACGCCTTGGCTCACCTGGCGAACCCTTCCCGACTATAAGGCCAAAAAAAGGACGAGGATGGGGATTTACTTTGCCACACGGCCCGCCTCACAAAATGGCGGCGTCCCTCTAAACTTCCCCCCCCCTCGCGCTCCCTCCTCCCAAGGCTGTCTTCGTCAGCGTCGTCGCCGTCGGTGACAGCGGAGCCTCCGACCGCCTCCCTCCCTCCTTCTCCCCTCAACGTGCGCACGAGGGAGAAAGAGGAGGCGCTCATTGGTCCATGATATCCAGCAGTGACCGCCCACCCTGTGGCAGGACTGGCAGATATGTTTTGTCAATCAGTAGTCGGGCCAACGATCTGCTTAGGTGTGTCATAGGCCTTCCCCTCGGCCTCTATGAAAATTCCCGAGAACAACCCTTGGATTTAAGGCTTAACTCGTCATAGCCGGTGAGGCCGGTGACCTCGAAAGCAGGAGTATAATTGTAAATTTTGGGACGTAGAGGCTCACTACGATACTTAACGCCCTCAAAGAGAGTTCAAATGGAAGTGGCATGGCTTTTGTAGAGCTAATGGGTCTTAACTGCAAGTTCAAGGGCAAGGCGCACCAGAATACTTTGCATGGCAATAGGTGCATTCTGACAATAACATAGTGCTGCTGAGGAAACAAACATACCGGATATCGAACCGAGAAAACTGGGAAGCTGGGGAGGATGGGGGATCATGTAATCATGCTAATCAACAGCTCTCAGGACTTCAGCGCTGCCAACTTTGATTCCACTACATTACTGCCCTAAAATGTGTTCAGGAGAAATGCACACATCAGAGGTAACAAAGGGTACACCAGCTGTTGACTTCTCAGTAATGTATGCTTTTCTAGTGAATTCAGTCCTAGGTACACAATACCTATGTCCAACTTATATAGAATTTTTAAAGTCTCGCATGCCATAGAGACTACATAGTCTCTTTGGATCAGGCTAAATAAGGGGAGGTCACTAGGAGGTCTGATCTGTATGCTATTTGGTGCAATCTAAATTGAACATGGATTAAAAGTGACACTACAGTATTTGGCCTGCACCGGCCTGCTGTCAATTTGCCCATATTGTGAAGTGGCTTAAGAAGATAGCTACATAGATATAGGAATTTCAAACATTAAACACTTTCTGGTTTAGTAGAATAGTGTTATGTAAAAAGAAAATTATCCCCAAATTAAAGTTCTTATTTTGGATGTTACAGACGAAGGCTGAAGAAAAATTTTAAAAGAATGGCAGGTGAGGGTTAATATGTATTGTAATTGTAATACTGTAAGAGAGTTATAATCCATAAGAATGAATGGTGTGTTTCACAAAAAGAAAGAGGTTTAGGTATGCTCAGTATTAAACTATATTATATAGCAAATCAGTTGAGACACATTCCAAATATAAGAACGTATAATAAAAATTTGATTTGGAGAGAGTCAGAATTTGATGGAAAAGAGGGAATGATGGAGAATATAATTTAAAAGAGAAAATCAAGGGAGTGATGAAAAATAAAGATAATCCCTTTTAAAAAATATGTTAGAATGTTGGAAAAAAATTTAGGGGAGTGTTAAGTCAACCAATAAGATGGATCTTTCTTATACCAGAAAGATCTGGATGTCCGGGACAACCCAGATAGTGTGGTTGCTGCCCTTGAGCCAGACACCCTGGAGAGTGAAGTCAAGTGGGCCTTAGTGTGGCTAAGAACAAGGCCAGTGGAAATGATGGCATTCCAGTTGAATTATTTAAAACCTTAAAAGATGATGTTGTTAAAGTGCTATACTCAATATGCCAGCAAGTTTGGAAAACTCAGCAGTGGCCAGAGGATTGGAAAAGATACATCCCAATCCCAAAGAAGGGCAGTGCCAAAGAATGCTCCAACTACCATACAATTGCACTCATTTCACATGCTACCAAGGTTATGCTCAAAATCCTACAAGGTAGGCTTCAGCAGTATAATAATAATGATGATGATGATGATGATGATGATGATGATGATGATGATGATGATGATAATAATAATAATAATAATAATAATAATAATAATAATTTATTGTCATTGTAAGTATATA